AAAGAAAGAGACACACAAACAAAAAGACTCTTAAATACATTAAACAAACTGGTGGTTACCAGGAGGGAAGTGGGTCGGGGAATGGGTGAAATAGATAAAAGGGATTAAGAGGTAAAAACTTCCAGTTATAAAATAAATAAGTCGTGGAACTGAAAAGCACAACATAGGGAATATAGTCAATAAGACTGTAATAATGTTGTTTGGTGACTACACTTAAAGAGGTGAGCACTGATTAACATAATGTATAGAATTGTTGAATCACCTGAATGTTGTACACCTGAAACTAATATAACACTGTATGTTAATTATACTTCAATAAAAAAGTAATAAATAGGGGCATCTGGCTGGCTCCGTCGGAAGAGCGTGGGACTCGATCTCGGGGTCATGAGGCCCACGTTGGGTGTAGAGATTACTTAAATAAACAAAAATTTTAAAATAGTGATAATAATCATTACATTTTTCAGGTCAGGTCTTGTTACCACTACAAAATTATCTGATTTTTTACAGATACTTAGCCAAATGTGCTTAACAAAATGTGAATCCTTAGCATGGCAGACTCCAGCTTTTCTCTTCATGAGGAAAATTCATAAGGAAAAATGAGGAAGATTCTTATAACTACAAAAAGAATAATTTCTCTCTGGGGGTGGACATGATTGTTGTTTATAGTGGGGGAAAAAAATGCTAGTTTATTTACAAGAGGGAAGGAGCCAGAACAGAAACCCAAGTGGGGTGGGGGGGAAGCAACAGGGCAAGAGGCCACATACCCCAGTGTCATCCCTCCGCTTGACCTGACACCCAAAGACATCTTTTTTAAGATTTTATTTATTTATTTGAAAGAGAATGAGTGAGAAAGCACAAATGGGGGGAGGGGCAGAAGGAGAGGGAGAAGCAGGCTTCCCGCTGAGCAGGGAGCCCGATGCGAGGCTCCATCCCAGGACCCTGGGATCATGACCTGAGCCGAAGACAGATGCTTAACAACTGAGTCACCCAGGAGCCCCAACACCCAAAGACATCTTTACTCACGAACTTGTGAAATGCCTGGGGTGAGTAAAAAGTAACTTGTTGGTAAAGGGAGGAAGTGCCTTCAGTTACACAGACAGGATGAGCCAGCACACCCAGAGGCCAGAGTGTGGAAAGCACAGTAGTGGGGAAAGAGAGAGCCATACGGAAGCAACTGCCTGGAACCCCCTGAATGCTGGTGGGGGGAGGCCTCTCCTCTCAGACGCTATGAGGTGGGAGTTCCGGATCTCTGAGGGACTGTGAAGCCCCAACTAACACCTGGAGAGTGCCCTGCTTAAGAGAAGCTGACACATGGTGCAGCCACTGTGGAAAACAGTATGGAGCTTACTCAAAAAGTTAAAAATAGAACTGCCCTACGATCCAACAATCGCGCTACTGAATATTTACCCAGAGAATACAAAAACACTAATTCAAAGGGATATATGCACCCCTATGTTTATAACAGCATTATTTACAATAGCCAAGAAATG